GGGTTTAGACAAGCAAATTTTGACTTCGAAACCCAACAACCATCAAGTCGTCGTTGGCATGAAGAAGACTCTGGTTTTCTACAAAGGCAAGCCTCCTCATGGCTCCAGAACCGACTGGATCATGCACGAGTATCGCCTCCATAATGTAAGAGAGGCTCAAGTTTATGGCTCATTCTCCTTCATTATATATCAAAACATAACAAACTGGTCTGCTCGGTTATTTTTTGCAGACACAGAGCTCTGTGGTGGGTATGCAGAACTGGGTACTGTGTCGTATATTCTTGAAGAGAAGAAATGGAAAGATGAGTACTGAAGAACAGAGCAATTTCAGAGTGAATAGAGACATGATGAACAAGTTAAGCTCAAGGCCTGTGTTCTATGATTTCTTATCACAGAGCAATAAGAATAACAATAATAATAGTAAGACTGATTTGAATCGGACACCTACCTCGTCGACCTCAAGCATAAGTGGAATCACGCATCTCTCTGGTTCTCATTCTCTTCACAACGAATCTGATGAGCGTGAAGAAGCAAGCAGTAGTTGCAACAGCTTACCGTCTCTTACAAGAAACCCGTGACTAGAAAGCTTTCATTAATCTTACTTTGTCCTCATTCCTAGTTAATGTTGTTGTTGTACCTTGTACTACTTTTCTGATCCTTTCTGGTTTTAGATTATTGTTATTATTATTATAATTATTCAGAGTCAAATGAATACCGGCACTACCTTTTGTTTCCTCTCAATCTCTAAGGTGTAATGAATGGTTTGTACTCTGCTTAATTGAGCAATTACAAGTTCTTGCTTCATCCACACAGCTCTTAAGTTGCATACTAGCTAGTAACATCTAAGATCATCATGATCAACCTCGTACAGCTTTTGTTGTTGGTTTATGAATGAAGCGAACGAGATGTAAATCCCAGAATTTGAGAATTGAAGAAGCTGAAGCCAGCTGTCTGGTGTAGGAGTAAATAAATCACTTGCCGACAAAATAGCATTTACGGTTTTTTTTTTTTGGTAAAGAAAAATTAGCAATTACAGTTAATAGTAATTCTATGGACATTTTTGAATTAGGAGGGTGAGGAGGAGGAAGAAAGAGTCACTAGGTTGAAAATGAGGTGATTAGAGGGTCCCTAGTTTTGAAAATTGATGGGCTAATTGACTTCAAGAAAAACTACAGTCCACTTCAATTTATTTCTAACCCTTTACAATTTAGGGATAATATAAGTTTAGGTCTTTCTATTTTACTCAAATTTTATTATAGATTATTGTATTTTTGTTTAGTGTTAACATACAATATCAAAAATTTAAGTACAAGGACCTACAATGCAAAGTGATGTTTTTCTCACAATTATTTTGCATATCTTATCCAAATCTTTTCTTTTCTTGTTCTAAATTTGAGGGCATACGTTGACGGTGACATTCCATTAACAGTGGGACTAATATGGTGATTAGATTACAAGGTTATCGGCCAAAAATCTTTTCTTACTTCTTTGATAGTTCCGTAGTTGATCTGAAAATTTTCAATGTGAGTTTGGACATGGAGTTTATATATAAGCTATATTCCCTCAATTCAAAATATAAAAAGCTTTTTAAAAAAATTCACATATCAATAAAAATTTTATTCTTATAAAAATTTAAATTATTTTTTTATCTTTAATTTCAATTATCAACGTACTTCATGATTAGAGAAAGATACATTTACACAAAAATTTAAATTAATAAATATTTTAAACTAAGATTAATTAAAAAAATACTTATTGTATACTGAGGGGAGCATTTTAGAAGAAAAATTGACAGTCCTTTTTATAATTGAAAAAGAAATTAAGGTCATTTTTATTAATCATTATATAAAAAGGTGAATTATTAATTACTTTATTTTAATTTTACTCTTTAAAAAAGTAAAAAAAAAAAGTTATACCAAAGAGAGAACATTTTTAATGTGATACGTTTAACGAGGGTAAATTGAAAATTTTCTTTCTTTTTTAGACAATAATTTAACTCACAAAAAGATTAATAATTAACTATCTTCCTAATTTTAGTGAGATACTCTCTGTGATTTTATATATAAATCACTTTCAACATGTTTTGTTAATATCAAGAAAAACTTTGAACCTTATTGAATTTATCTTAAAATTTAATAAATTTTTACCTTTATCCTTAATAAATATTCTTAAATCTCATTATTGATATTTTTATCAAAATATTTAATAAGGATAAAAATATAAAGAGAAGTATTATAATTTGACAAGTGCCTTGTAAATAAGATTAAATTTTTTCTTCTCTCTTTACTCTATAAATGAAACCAAAATAGTAGTTATAAGTAGTTTATAAATAGGAGTGAATAAAATATTTACTTTCAATCATTAACTGCAAAAGTTGAGAATTAAGTACTTACTTTCACTCATTAACTACTTACTTTTCAATTCATCATTTCATGAGGAGTAAATTTTACATATCAAAGAGAGAATGAATTCAAAGATTAATATTTTAATAAACTTAAACCAACTCTTTTTTTATATAATATCAATATCAATAATTTAATTATTTTTCATTAATTTCGATGAAATAATAAAAAATAAAGTACAAAAAGGAGTATACAATATATACTCCCTCGGATCCTTTTTGTAGGTCATATTTTATTTTTTTATCTTTTGTATAAGTTTGTAATATTTTGTGTACAATTCCAAAAATACGTTTCACGAAATTCTAAAAAAAAGTGTAATATTTTAATTTACAAAAAAGAATTTCATACATCAAATCACTCTTTTTAAAATTTAAGAATAAAATTAGAAAATAATTTAGTTTTAAGATAATTTTATTATTTTAACTCATCCACCTTAATTTTAATGAATTATTTTGAAGTGATTTATCCAAAAAAAAACGAGAAATATGTCTTGTTTTTGCTTTTTATGTAAATTGGAGGTTAGATTAACCAGACGTGCGGACAAATATGAAAGAGCAATTGCAGGGTTGAATCTAGTAGGACGTGATATCTAAATTCTTGTGTTGCAAACAAACACAAAAGATGTCTTCATATTTTCCTCTAATAAAACATGTTATAGACCCAATGCTTGCTACAAACTTCGGATACATGTTCCATACACGCATCAATACGTCCAACTTGCAATTTAAATAGTTTTGGAAGAAATAATGAACTTTTGGCCATAAATAGAAATAGCTATGAAAGAGCAAAAGGAACCAATAATGGAAGACATGACCAAAAAAACATAAACCCTGCCATCTTGTCTAGTGGAAAGATTTAATGGATTTAAGTAATGATGGTTTTATCAAGTGGAATAAATAATAGACTCAATACTCTTTCGCTAATTTGATTCAATGGTGGGATAAACCATTAGCTCTTTGTGCAAACAGGATTGGTTGGATTAGTAGATTAGCCCACTTCTCTACACACACGCACACTCTTCTACAACTTTCTTGATTGCTTCAACAGAGTAAATTTGGTTAATTCTAACTTCTTCAGATTGCTTCTATACTATTGCAGGGATGGAACAAAAGAAGTTTTTGAGAATTCAAATATCTTCTTATTTAATCAAATAATACGTCATTCAGTTTCACATACAAGTCATATTCTAATAAAATCGATGGTATTTTTTATAAGTTATTTTGTATAAAAAAAAGACAGATCATTAATAACTTTTTTTCCTTCTAAATTTACCTTTTTACAATTTTCTATAAGCAAGAAAAATGTTTCATCAGATAGAAAATGTTTTTAAAAATGATATATTTAATAAAAGTAAATTAAAAATTTTTTTTCCACACAACATTAATGATTTATCTCTCTCTGTTTTTGTTGAGGCTGTTAAAAAAATTCCTGCCATGTAGACGACAAGAAGCAAGTAGTTGGCAAAACAGAGAACATAGTTACAAAGAAACAGAGTATTGGGGTTGGCACAGAGCATCAGATGTCAAGCGGCAGAGAAGATGCAGTAATTATTAGGATATTATTATAATTTTAAAAGAGAAATAATTGCCGACCAGAGTTACTTGTGAGAGTGGGTTTAGGATCAAAGAGAGAGAAAGAGAGAGCTGTTGGAGTTGTTCACGTCACCTTTTGTTAATAAGTTATCATTTTCAAGAAGGAAATAAGAGATTGCTGACTTCGGGCAATGTTCTTGTCAATCACGTGGGCAGCCCCTCATGGTAGCCCGCTCTTTTGACACTGACTCTCTCTCTTAGTATAGAATCTCAATTAATTTACCCAATTAAATTAATAAATAGTTAAATCAAATCTTAATTAATTTAATAAAATATTTTATTTATGATGAATTCAACTAAAATTTAATCTTTAAACTAGTATTTAAACTTGTTTAATGGCTGACCCGATTCTCAATGTACTGCTTTAACTCCCCCCCTTTTTCTCTCTCTAACTCGTCTTTTGTACCCTAAACTTGAGTCTCCCCTGGTTAGGTCAATCACTCAAACAGACAAAACCCTTCCATTATCTGTATGGCATTTTGGGTCTTTGTCACTGTCAATGTCATTGAATCTTCCTTTTCTTTTAAAAGAAAATATATTTGCTTTGCAGGCTGGGAACGTGTGATCATCCATCAATTTTGACCCCTTCCCTTCAATCCAACAACTTTTTAAATGCTTTCTTGCGTAAAATAGTTGCTCACTATCTTATCTCCCACTAACATTCCCTAATGGCACACAAACATTAAATAATCATGTGTAGGACACCTACACTTCATCCCCTCCCAGCTGAGTTTAATTTTTTGAATTAAGATTGAGATTGGACAGCATTATTTAGGACTCAGATCCTTGAATCTATGTTCTATGATTGATTGTTGATTCATACTGAACCAGTTGGACTTTGTTGGTTTCACAAGATTTCCATTCTTTCTTCTTCGTCCCTTCCAAGACCACATGGTGTACCTACCATATCAACATGTCAGAAACTTCTGTGAAGCACGCAACATACAGATGCTTCGACTACACGTAAGATATGAGATCTAATCATGTGTTCTTCCAACAGTGAGCATGTTCATCAATGAGATCATATTCAAAACCAGAAGGAAACTGGCATTATCTTTAATGGGGGCACTCACATGTACTCTTTTTTCACCCAAGTTCCAGAATAAAGGGACATCTCCTGCAAGCAAAAATGCAAGGATGTTCCTCACTGAATCTGTTCTCATGCTTTTTTCTTATGTAGAATTCAAGACCAGAGCTCAACTACTATTAAATTAACCTGCCATGGACCAAAAACATGCTGAAATATATTTTGATGTTTGAATTCCAAAATATCAATGATACAACCTACGGACTGGCTTCATGTTATCCAACAACATACCACCTTCAACTTAGTTGCCCTTGCTAATGTTTTCAGCAGCTTTAATAGCACCATCAGAAGTGGCTGTTGAGGGAGGTTCTTCGGCACATGCCTTTAGGACAGCTTCATTCTTAATGAGAAAAGAACACTTTCATAATATCAGCCATGGATTGGAAGTAAAAGAAAAGTCATGCTTCAAAAATAATAATAATAATAATAAAAGGAATAAAGTAGTGGAGGGGTAATGAAACAAAGGCGCGTGCGTGGGAGGCAAATGTAAGCAAGAGGCTTGAAACCAAATAACCGCTTAGAAACATGAGACTGAAGGAACTAGCCCATGCAAAAAGAAATAAATCAACATCCATGCAAACATTTTCTCCAGGTCTAATGATCACACACAGCTGAAGCTGCTTCCAATCTACATCAAAAGTATAACTAATTGAAGTAAACAGTATCCCAACTCACGCACAAGGCATTCATGTGGGGATGGAGTTCATCACGAAATACACAGAGCAATGTAGCAAGAGATGCTTTTCGCTTGTTGATCATGTTTTTCAACAAAAGAAAAGAAAAGTATCAAATAAGAAAAATTTATTATTGTAACATGTACGGCAATAATGATCAACAAAAAATGGGTTTTAATGATCCCTGCATTTAGAAATATACGGGTAAAGATAGAATAAGAAAGGAGGGAACAGAAAAGAGAGCATAGTATGGTTTTCAAAAGCACTCCCAGCATTTTGTATAGCTTTTTTGCAACGACATTACTTCTTCATCCAAAGTCAAAAAAGGACCACCGTTCCCTGCTCTCATCTCTTGCTGACTTTAGCGTAGCATTTGGTATTTAGTTTTCTAAATGGGGTATCAAAATCCAAAAATTATAAGGACGGGCCTACATTCTGCTATGAGAATTTAGAATTATGTTCAGCTTGTTTTAAAATTGAAGGCCGTAAAATAGTGCAATCATGGATGACAAAAACATCTGTAGGGGAATTGTGTTCAGAGAAACTCTTGTAACAAGCTTAATGAAATTCCAAAATAACATGGCTCAAATTACTTTTATGTTTCAACTTTATTTTACTACTCTCCAAATGATCTTGACAAATTTGTTTTCTGATTGTTCCGCCTAAAAGGTATTTTATGTTATGTTTTTATAATATTGACTTTAGTTAGTTAGTTAGATATAGCCGTTAGCAGGTGCACTGTTAGTAACCACTTGGGGGGGTAATTCTGATTGCTATAAATACCCTACAATTCAATTGTAATCATTATGATTTATCAATGAAGCCTGCGCATTATTCAGCTTAATTCTCTTCTCTGTCTCTAAATCCTCTTAATTCCTCTCTGTTCTTCTCTCAATTACCTATATTCTTCTTAATCTCTATCATTCAGAATTATCTTAACACAACAGTGGCATCAGAGCTGGTCATTCCTTGGCCACTCTTCTTTTCTCTTCCCTTCCAATCGTGTATGGTCAAAACATGAAAACAAACAGCAAGAAATGGATGAAAGAATTACTCAGATCGAACAAAGACTCGCCAAGCTTTGATATGGAGGATATTCTCAATGACCAAGTCATGCCCAACCAAATTCAGTTACTGATGCAGGGTAGATACAAAGCATCTATAAACAATGGTAGGAATGATCACCCCACCGTCGTCACGAGGATCACCGAAATAGATATGACCATCGTTAGGATGGGGATTACAAAAACAGGGATGACCATCATCGAGACAAGGATCCAAGAAATAGGGGTGACCATCAACAGCCGACCTAGTTTACAAAGATGGAATTCTCGAAGTTTTCACGCTCGAGTGTTGTAGGGTGGATTATGTGATGCAACAAGTATTTTGAATTTGACAACACTTCGGATGAAGAAAAAGTCAAGATGGCAAGTATTAGTCTCGATGAAAAGGCATGGTCTTGGCATGGAGCGATGAGGAAAGCTCGCTTTGGGGTCTTGCCGAGTTGGGAGCATTATGCCAAAGTTCTCAAAGAATGATTTGGACTGACTCATGAAACCCCAATGGGCAATTTAATGCAGCTAAGACAATGTGGATCATTGGCCGACCTCAATGACGACTTCGATTTGATTGCATGTAAACTTCAACTCTCCCAAGAGTATTTGGTCAAAACATATCTTGAGAGATTGGTAGAAGAACACGTGGGTCCTGTGAGACTCTACAAACCATGAAATCCTTCAAGAAGCCTGTTCACTGGCAAGAATGCAAGAGATCACCCTACAAAGGCAAGTGGAGAAGAGGATGAGCGGCAAGAATGCTTCGTACTTGTCTTCACCAATGATTGCCTCATCTCAGACCTATCAAGCCACTTGGGCCCCTTATAAAAATGCTTTGTTAAGCAGTAGGACTCATAATAAAAGGAAGCCAACACCTTCAGCCTTTAAAACTATCAATTTTGTCTCTAAAAACACTATTAATGCCTCTAAACCTCTTTTTGCAGAAGCAGCAGCATAACAATGAAGCAAGAATTTATGCTTCTATTGCCATTGGAAATTTCCCAGAGGTCATAAGTGTCCCCAAAGATAAAAGATGCAACTCCACTTCATTGAGATTCAATAAATCGCAGAGGATGAAATTTCAACAGAAGATTAAGAAAAAAAAAACAGTCTAGAAGAGGTGACACCCCTAATTTTGTTATATGCTATTGAAGGGATTGAAGGTGCCTCATCAATGAGGGTTGTGGGTCATTGTGGTAGGAAACAACCCCACATTTTCATTGACAGTGGAAGTACGGATGATTTCCTAGACTTGGATTTTGCAAGAGGGTGGCAGCCTAATAATACTCATGAATCATGGGTTGAGGTTGCTAATGGTCGAAAATTAAAAGCCCATAGAACGTGGAAGGGTTTTAGATGGTCCATGCAAGGCTTGGATTTTGTCTTTTGACTTCAGAATTTTGGAGTTACATTCAAATAGCAAGGTCTTAGGGTTACATTGGTTGAAAAGCGTAAAAAATGCTTTTTGGAACTACAAGACCCTTACTATGTTTTTCTGGTATGAAGGAAGGTTGTGCAAACTTCAAGCCAACATCCCAAATCAATTAAAGGTGGTTCAACCAAAAAATTTAGAGATGAGGGACTCTCAAGAAAAACAAGTTTATTTATTGCAACTCATCCTAGATTAGCACACACCCTGTAATGTTTCTCACTTCAAACCTCTAAGGAAGTTCCAACAGTGATTACAGCTACTTTAGATGAATTTTCAGACCTCTTTGAGGAGCCTAAAGGGTTACCACCATTTAGGGAAGGTCATAACCATCCAATTATTCTCCAGAAAGGCAAAAACTCAATAAATTTAAAGCCCTACAAATATCTAGCTGCACAAAAGGATGTAATTGAAAAATTAGTTGGTGATCTTCCACAAACAAGGGTTATACAAGAAAGCTCTTCCCCTTTCTCAGTTCCTATTGTCTTGGTTAAACAAAGGGACGGCACTTGAAGGACGTGCATCAATTATAGGGAGTTGAATAAGAAGACAATTAAAAACCAGTACCCTATCCCATTAGTGGAAGATTTATTTGATGAATTAAGCACAGCAAGGTGGTTTAAAAAGCTGAATTTACGAGCTGGGTATCATCAAATCAGAATGATGCCAGAAGATGCACATAAAACTGCTTTCAAAACTCATAGTGGGTATTATGAATGGTTAGTTATACCTTTTAGCTTAACTAATACTCTAGCAACATTTCAAGGAGCCATGAACAGTATTATCAGATCATTCTTAAGAAGGTTTGTTCTGATATTTTTTGATGATATCTTGATTTATAGTGCTAACATTATTGACCATGTGCAGCACTTAAAGCAAGTTTTTTCTATTTTAAGAGAAAACCATTATTTTGTCGAGAAAACTACATGTTCTTTTGCTGCCATTGAGTTGGAGTACCTGGGACATTTAATTGGAGATGCTAAGGTCAGAACTGATCCTAAGAAGATACAAGCAGTAGCTGATTAGCCTAAACCACAAAATATCATGCAATTGAGGGCATTCTTGGGTCTAGTATGATATTACAGACGTTTTATTAAAGGTTATTGGATTCTAACTAAGCCCTTAATCCTTCTCCTCAAGAAGAATGGGTTTGAATGGTCACAAGCGGCTACTAAAGTATTTAACAACCTCAAAGAAGTTCTGATTTCTGCACCTACACTCACACTTCCAGATTTTTCAAAACAATTTATATTTGAGGTAGATGCTTGTGGAGTAGGGTTTCTAATGCAAGAGGGTCAACCTATTGCTTATTTTAGCAAGGGATTGGCTGAAAGACATCAAAAGTTCTCAATCTATGAAAAGGAATTAATGGCAGTGATGCTGGTTGTGCTTCATTGGCATCAGTATTTGGAAAGACAGAGATTTATCATTAGATCATACTAGAAAAGCTTGAAGTATTTGCTTGGACAAAAGTTAAAACATCTTTTCAGATGTTTTGGATTGCTAAATTGGCAGGATTTAATTATGAAATTCAATATGAAAAGGGGCATGAAAATTCTATAGCCGATGCTCTTTCCCAAACGCCTAAACAGCAATTGTTGAAGATAATTTTAGACACTTCTTCCCCCAAGATGCTTACAAAAATTAAGGGTAGTTAGCAAAAAGTTAAAGCAGATAATGGAATTTGGGGCCATTTCTCTTAGGATGGTGACTTATTGAGGAGGAAGGGAAAGTTAGTAATAAGACATGATCCCGTTTTGAAGTAGCAAATTCTTGAATGGTTGCATTCTAATCTTCAAGGGGACATTCAGAAATTCAAGCTACCTACCATAGGATTAAAGCACTATTTTAGTGGAAAAAGATTATTAATGATGTCACAAATTTTATTAAGCAGTGTCATACCTGTGCATGCTGTAAATATGAAGCTATTGCATCTTCAAGGCTGTTACAACCTCTTCCAATACCGAGTAGAATTTGGAAAGTATTACTGTGAGTAAATAAGGACACGATTTGGGTTTTGATAGATAGAATGCGTAAGTATGCATATTTTATTCCTTTAACTCCTCCCTATTCAGCATCTTCATTAGCACAACTTTTTATGAATTGTGTTTACAAATTACATGGTGCCCCTATTGAGATTATAATTGACTATGATCCAATTTTTGAAAGTGGATTTTGGAAG